TGGGGGGGTGGGTGGAGTGTGAACCACAGTGAGACAGGATGCAGGAGCTTCAGAGTTCAGGTCCAAAGAATAATCAGAAACTCCCTGGCAGGACACCACAGGGCAGGTACACATCTGGCCCAAACAGCCCAGGCTGCCTGGCTGGGCAGAGAGAAGCACAGCTTTGCTGTGCACCCCCACACTGCTGATGTCTGGGCAGAAACCCTGCATTCAGCTCCTTAGATCCAGCCTGCCATAGCCTGTGCTGTCACTGCTCAGGCAGGGGCACAGCAGAACATGGCTCCAGGCCTGTCTGAGCCCATTCCCCTCTACCAAAACCCAAGTTCCAGCATCCACTTCTGTTACTGCTTTTGGAACAAGCCCAAGTCCCTTCAAGCACAAGCACACATCTCTGCTGTGGCTGAGGTGCTCTTGGCTGTATGAACAGCACTGTTGAACAGGCATCTCAAACAGTTTTTGACCACTGGGCTAGCTAGCAACTTAGGAGTCAGCAGCTGGAAGCTGTAGTCCCACTCTCCACCCAGGGCTTTCAGTGTGCCTTTGGGCCAGTGAGCCAGCCTCTTTTCCTGGCCACTTGCTGCAGCATGGCTCCAGTACTTCTGCTCCCACAGGACCATACACTGAAATTCACAGATGAACAGACTGTACAGGGGATAAAGGCAGATACCAGTAGCAGACAAAGACAGAGAACAGGTCTCCTGGAGGGGCAAGCCTGTGCAGTATCAGACTCAGTTCAGTGGGGAACAGAAAAACAGGGTGAGCTTTAATATTTCATCATATGCTCAGATACAAGCATGTTATCACACACCTTGTTTATGGGAGACCTGCTCACAGTGACAACTCTTATTTTGGCTCCTGTCTTAGCTTTCCTGCCTTCATATAAAATATCTGAGCAAAAGAAGTCTTTGAGCCAAATTCTGATCTGACCCAGGCAGTGTTTCTGAGGCCCAGCTCCCCCTTCTTTCAAACCCAAGGGCACCAAGCCCCTGGCTCCCTGCTCTGAATTAGTGGTGAGCCTTGGCCACCCCACAGACCTTCCTCCAGGACTTACCATCCAGAGTACAGAGGGCAAAAAGACCAGAGCCATTTTTCTCACTGGAGCAGCCTGTAAGTGCAGAAAAGCATTACAAGAGTTGGTGCCACTTCATGAGCATGGTCCCCTCCCTCCTGAAAAAATCCAGAGATCCAAACCAATCTGATCCATCCCACTTCATTTTTTGCTCAGCCTTGACACTTTGCTTAGCAGATATCTGCAGATTCTTGCAGCCAATCATACTTCATGGTGGCTTTTACTGTAGGGCACTGGCACCTCAAACCCCAACATCTTGGGTTTGTACCAACAGAAGCGTGCAGGTCCTGCTGGCTCCCAGGACTCTGTCTGTACCACACAGGTACTCACAGTCCACAGCAGTTCTGACTTCACTGACCTGCACCTCACCCTGCCCAGGCTCCTCAAATCCACAAGCCCAGGCAGCACCACCACAGGGGACAACGTGAGGAAGAGCTGCAGCCAAACAAGAGTTACAGCTGTGCTCTCCCCGTTTCTTTCACAGACAGGGACATGGCCTTTGGCTGCTCTGGGAAGGTGCAAGGTTAAAAGGAGAGAGAGGTCCTGCCAGAAGGACAAAGCACAAAAGCACCTCCATGGTAAGTCCTGAACGAGTCTGCAGAGATGATGCTACCAACACTATTGTTTTTGCTACAGCAAAACTGAGCAGAACTTGTGAGCCTCTCCCAGCAAACAGTGGCCAGATGCTGGAGAGCCCTTGCTTCATGAGCAGATTAGACATGTGCCTTCATGCACACTCAGCCCTGGCTTTCCTGGGCTATGCTGATCCAGCAAGCACTATCCCTCCCAAAGCCTGTGTATCACTGTGTGCAGGACTGCACTGACAAACATGAGGCTGTATCTAAAGAGCAGACTCCCCTGACCACCAGGCTGCTCCAGCCCTTCAATACACTCCTAGCTACCAGCCAGAAAAAACATGTGAGGTCAGGTTTTGAAAGCTGTACCACACTTGGCAGGGAAGCTGGAGCTGTATCCCACAGCTGCACACTCCCAGAACACAGACCTACCCTACTGCCAAAGGTCAGCTTAAAGCAGCCAGCTGCCCCTAGCTGCTCATCCAGAGAGGCTCCGATCCAAAAGATCTGCTGGGTTCCCCTCACAAACTGCTCAGCAGTGCCCTTACAGAGGCTCCAGCACCAGTGGGCCTTTCACCATCTTTTCTGCATGCCTTTGTTTTTCAGACACTCCTCATTAGATGTACACAGGGAAATAATTGATTTCATGCTCAGCTGGCCATGTTGCTCATAGCAGCACGGGAGATGCTAAAAATGTGACAAGCTTAGGAACTGAGGAGGGAGAGAACTCTGGGGAAAGGGAAGTGGAGCAGCTCCAGTGGATTGCTCTTCTTCCCCAGCTCCAGTTCTGTTGGAGAGCTGAAACTGTTCTCAGATAGCTCTGCAGGGGGGAATACTTGGAGAGAGCAAATGCAGCTGGATTCCAGACAGCTGCAGACAAGAGAAAGTGATCTGCACTGGGAATTTTCTGCCTTCTATTATGCCCACATGCTCCGAGGGAGAGCGAAAGCTGCTTACTCTAAAGGTACCAGAACAGGGTTCAGCAGGGGGACCAGGCCG